CTGTTGTCAGCCCTTTGGACAAATTTCAGGATCTTCACAGCTGGTTCCCCAGAGAGACAGTCATTGGTATAAAAACTGAAGAGAAGGGGTGGGAGCACACAATCTTATGGTACACCAGTACTGAGGATGAAGTCCCCAAACTGAACTCTTTCGTAGGTTCTAGGACTGTTGAGATGCTATAGCATGAAGTGCAGGGCCAGGTTGACCACATCATCAGCAGACCTGTTAACCCTGTATACGAACTGCCACTGATCCAGCCGAGGGTTTGTGGTGGTCTTCAGATGGGCTATGACCAGGTGTTCAAAGACCTTCAAAACTACACAGGTCAGGGCTACTGGCCTGTAATCATTTAATCCAGTAATGGTAGTTTTTGGGGGGACCAGAATAATGGTAGTTATTTTGAAGCATGTGGAAAAGAGCACAGTTTCAGAGATTTGTTGAAGATGTTGGTGAAAATGGTTTCTAGTTGGTCACAACAGTGTTTTAGAGTGGATGGAGAGACTTAGGCCTGGCTCCAGAGCCTTCCTCAGTCTGCTGAAAAAATCTGTTAATGTTCTGCTCATTGATGGTAAGATGAGTGGGGGCAGACATGAGAGAGGAGGGTGGGGGCTGGCAGAAAAAGTAATGTCTTTTGTGCTTTCAAATCTATAGTAGGACTCCTTGACGGTCGTTCAGGAGAAGTCTTTCTCAACTTGTAGTTGGTAATCCCTTAGAGGCCTTTCCGGACTGTAGTTAGGTCTTAAGCAGCAAAGTGGCTTTTCAGCTTTTCTAAGTATTTCTTTTTTGCTGCTTTAATCCCTTCCTCCAATTTGTATTTGGCCTCTTTTGTAGACAATTCTGTACAAATTCCTGAAAGCTGCCTAGTTTTCCCTCCAAATCTGTCTGAGTTCAGCTGAAAACCATGGTTTATCCTTGCTATATTTCATCCGTGCTGTAGTTGAAATGTAGCTGTCCTCGCTGAAACAGATGTATGGTGTTTAAGTTTACAGTTAAAACATTTTTTTCAACATTTTAATTAGATTAGTGTATGTGATATGTATGTATGTTCTGTACACCTTATTTTTATGTTTTAACGGTATTATTTATGTTTTGTGAAAAAAGTGAAAGGAGCACCATGAAAAGGTTTACACACCCCAAGAGATTTGAGGTATCTTCTACCAATGTCTTAGACTTAAGTTAGCTTGTAAAGGCTATGGCTTGGTAGGAAAGAGCTCTTCTAAGCAGCTGCTGTGCACTCTGAAAATGAAAATAATTGATGCCTACAAAGCAGGAGAAGGCTATAAGAAGGTAGCAAAGTGATTTCAGGTGGCCATTTCCTCAGTTTGTGATGTAATTAAGAAATGGCAGTTAATAGAACTGGTGGTGGAAAACTTTCCAAGAGAACTGTTTAAAGGATTGCTAGAAAGGCAAATTAAAACCCCCCATTTGACTGCAGAAGACCTTCAGGAAGATTTACTACTAAATCTCCTTGAAGGTCTTTTGCAGGACTGGGACTGTGCAGCAGAACCTTCATAAATATGACCTTCTTGGAGGAAAACTTCTCTTGTGTTCTCACCACAAAATTCAGTGTCAGAAGTCTGCAAAGGAACATGTAAACAAGCCTGTTGCATTTGGGAAAGAAGTAATGTGGACTGATGAAGTTAAAATATAACTTTTTAGCCACAATGAGGTATGTTTGGAGAAAAAAGGTGCAGAATTTCACAAAAAGAACACTTCTCCAACTGTTAAGCATGAGGGTGGCTCTATCATGCGTTGGACTTGTGTTGCATACAGTGGCATGCATGTCACTGGTAGAGGGAAGAACAGATTCAATTAAATATGAGCAAATTCTTAAAGCAAACATCACACCATCTGTAAAAATGCAGAAGATGAAAACAGGATTGTTTCTACAACAAGATAACGATCCTAAACACATCTCAAAATCCATAATAGACTACTTCAAAAGGTGCACCTAAAGGTTTTGCCCTGGCCCTTACAGTCCCCTGTCCTAAACATCATTGAAAATCTGTGGATAGACCTCAAAAGAGCAGTGCATGCAACATGGCCCAGGACTTTTACAGAACTAAAGGCATATTGCAAGGAACATGCTTGCCAACAGGTGCATTACTAAGTAATGACCATGTTGGGTTCCCAAATTGTATAAAGATGGAAATAAAAATAATGCTGCTTAAAATATTTTAAAAAATGTGTTGTCTTTAACTTTATGCCTTTTGCAAATCAAGTCATCTTTTACTCACTTAGCTATTCGCAGTAACAGAAATTTTGACCTGGCATGCCCAAACTTTTGCATGCTATGGTACATTCTATGCACTAAGAGCTCAAATTGATGTCTTAAATGAAAATTGTTCAGTCTGGCTTCTCTATGCATCAACAATGAGACCTGACTTTGTTTTAATAATCAAATTATTCTATTATTGTTTCCACTCTTTGTGCAGAATTAATATGGGTAAACACAAATATGTACACACAATTTTTGTTTGCTTTTACGATGGACTTTCCCCAGGTTCATTATTATAATTTTTTGTTTCATCTTGTTGTGATTTGTTTGAACATGTGAACTGTATCTAATTGGCACTTATGTTTGTGTGTTTCCCTTACACAAAAAACTCTACTAAAATATAAATTACAAAAAATATATCACTAAAAACATCCAAATATGAAAACTGTTTACTTTTGTTTAGGTAGGCTTATTCAAGGGTTATTTTTAATTTGAAAGTAATGTAATAAAGCACAAACAGGACTTAAAGTCCCCCTTCTCCCCTTTAAGCCCATTGCCATATTCCCATTAGGCCAATCATTTATATTTTAGGAATCAAGTTTAATACATTTTTAATTTAATTTAATAATATTTAATATAATAGTAATTAAAATCAATTTTAATTATTGGTAAGCTTTCAAAACATTCTTAAAAATGACTACTACACATTTCAACTGGGGACCACCGTCAGGTAAAATTTTCAACATTATTTACATCCAGGACAGCTAGGGCTGTTCACTGTATCTAGTTGTAGTGTTTTTAGTCAACTTGGATTTTTCTATAAATGGAAATTTGAACTGTGTAGTTAATGAATCTTCAAATACATTAAAGCACTGTTCAATTTTAAAGCCCCTGTATCAGCTTCTGATAATACGTTTTGGATATAAACCTTTGTGTCAAGTAAGTTTCAATTAAAAAAAAAAAATCAAAAAGCAGAAGATATTTCTATACAAAATGCAAAATAACAATAATGATAAAATAAGTAATAAATGCAAAAGTAATTATAGATTTATGAACAGTAATATTTATTTTAATAATGATAACAATACTTAACAAAATTGCTCACAGAAGTGTGATAGGAACCAGACGCTGAGGAGTTTAATGCCTCTTAAAGCTCCCTCCCAAAGTTGTTACACGAAATGATTGTGAATACACTGTCTGATGTCTCATACATCGTTTTACAGTAGTTTTGTTTTAAAACCTTGATGTAAAATGCATTTTAATCAATTTATTTTAATCCATTTATGGTGGAGGGGTACATGAGGGGTGTTCTAAGGCAAAATTCGCCATTATTTTACCATCATCAACATTTAAAAAAAACGCATGTGTAGGTTCACTGGTGGTTAATATAATGGCTATATTTGCATTGTAAACATTGGGATCACCACCACTGTAAAGAAATCAGAGTCAGCAAGTTTCTCAGCAAATGAACCGTTTCACGTCAAAGCGATCCGAATAACTTTGTTTACATCTCAAGCCCTGAATTATGCAGAAATTTTGAAAAATCGATGGAATTTCTCTAACATTTGTTTGTCTGACCATGGTCATTGTTTTTAAAAATGTGTTGGCACTGAGAGGAAGAGTCTAGGCCTGATACCCAAACAATTAGGGAGAAACAAATTAACTTAATTAAAATAAATGAAATTAAGTGAGTAAAATATAATTATGTATGTGTAACTTTAATCTACACATTTTTCTGAGTTCATTGACACAATTGTCAATGATGAGTAGGTGTCTTAAATTGTGCAAAATTTAATTTGGAGTACAGCTATTTTCTTCTCTGACAATTTAGTCTTTTGTCACATGGAACTACTGATTTTTACAGCAGAAAATATCTTAAAATTAATAGTTAAAGTCAAGAGATATTTATAATATTTGGTACACAATATATCAGCCTCCTGACTATGCAAATTATATCAGCATATGTTCTTCGGAACTAATGAAATAAGTACATCTTTCCGAAGTTTTATTTACAAGTTTCCATAGAATTCCAAATGATGTCATTGCAGGAATTATGTTCTCTTTTATTAAACCGGAAAAGTCAGAAACTGTTGCGGGAGATTAATTTGCACATTCTTCTGGAGGTATCCCATTTAAAGCAAGTGGTGGAAAATAGACTTTAAGTATAATAGCCATGCACTCAGGTTTTACATGCTTTGATTAATGGCCAATGGCAGGCATAGTTAGAACACACTTTACTGCAAAATATGGATAATAATGCATGTAAAGACAATAACAAATGTGCTGATTTTATATTTCCTCTTGCTCTTAGGATGTTTTTCCATGTCACTATTGCTCTTGGCTCAGTTATCTTCTGTTTTTTTCAGTTTGAGATGTGAAATAAATTATTTTCCCACATACACTATGTGGCCAAAAGTTTGTAGACACCTAATACTACATGTGCACTCTTGTGTCAGCAGTAGGTATACCTTAATGCAGATGAATTCACTAATAATAAGCCATGTCCACAAACTTTTGGACATATAGTGTATTTATGCTTTCCTCTTGCTGTTAGGGTTTTTTGCTTGCCACTGCCCACCTTGGCTCATTTCAAAGCTTTTCTATAAAGCTACATTGTAACAACCACTTTTGAAAAAGAAAAGCTGTATAAAAGTTGTTCATGTCACAGTTAAATATGAAGATTCTGTCAGCTGGAGATTTTTCTTCTTGTGCCAAGATTTTCTGCCACTACATGTTAGGCTTTTTTAAAGGCACGTAAAAGTTTCTGGCTGCTTGGTGACAGGTGTTCATCAGGGAACTCATTTCTAATGGAAGTGATGCCCTAGAGAAGCTACGGCATAAGCTGATTACAAAAGGAGGAGAGAGTGCACCAATGGAAATCCACCTACAGACTGATGCAGCCAAGGGCACTTTGACTATTCAGGTATCTTTTGGTTATAAAGTTTTTGTAATAGGTGAACTTTGACATGTATAGCATATCCGTTCTTATTGTATTGTTAAATTAGTTCATGTATACAAAAGTGATTGACAAAAAGACATTTGACATTACTGTGAACTGATTTGCAAACTCTTCCTTATCCTATTTAGGACACAGGCATTGGGATGAATGAAGAGGAACTGGTTACTAACCTGGGTACCATTGCTCGATCTGGCTCTAAGGTTTATCTCATTGCCCACTGTGTTCTACACCTGATTCTCCTAATAGCATGTCACAGCAGAGAGTTATAAGACCATGGTTGTCCTTGTTGCTCTTAAGGCCTTCCTGGATGCTCTTCAGAGTCAAGTTGAGGCCAGCAGCTCTATCATCGGTCAGTTTGGTGTAGGCTTCTATTCTGCCTTCATGGTGGCAGACAAAGTGGACGTCTATTCTCAGAGTGAAGAATCAAGTGTTCCCGGATATAAGTGGTCCTCAGATGGGTAAGATATTCAGGATGTATGTAGGGTATGAGAGACAATGCATAAAATGCAATTAAGGTCCAAGTAAATAAACTTGAAAATACTGATAAGACAAATGGAATTACCTATCTCACAAAGATTATTCCCATTTAGTTTTCAAACTCAGAATATTTACCATGGATAGTTATGGATTTACATTACTGTCTTCCTGCAGCTCAGGAATTTTCGAGATTGCAACAGCCAGTGGGGTAAGGCAGGGCACTAAGATTGTGTTATACCTCAAGGAAGAATGCAAAGAGTTTTCTTCTGATGACCGTGTTAAAGGTAAGTATTGTAAGTAGAACATTTGTGGTAATTTACACTATATTTTACTATAAAACAATAGAAAATTGTTCGGAGTACCTTTTTGCATCTACTGATTTTTTTCTCCTTGAATTTCTTTTCTACAGAGGTTGTAACCAAGTACAGCAATTTTGTGAGTTTCCCCATCTATCTGAATGGTCGACGACTCAACACTCTGCAGGTAAGTGAGCTCTGTAGGTTCTGGTTTGGACTCCTCTGACCAGGGAAATTATAACAGTATAATGTAAACAGTAAGATTCTCAATATTGTACATACTAAATAATGATAGTCTTGTTCAACAACAAACACACTGCACAGTCTTCTGGTAGTGACACCAAAAGATAGCAGCATAAACAAAATTCTCACGAATTGATTGGAGTTGAAAGCCCTTTGTTCTGAGTACTTCAAAACTGTGTGGTAGAAAAGGTAAAGATGTGAGAAAAACACATAGCAAGCAGAGATACAAAACAAAGTAGGAAGATATCACATTGCCTCTCCTCAGGGTGGCTAAGATTTACGAGAACTATACACGCACAAGAGGACACTGTTGATTTAGGCTTATTTCTTTGTAATTAACAGATTTCTGCCAACACAATGAAAACTTGCTCAAGGATATTAAGGGGGAGATTATGAAAACAAATACCAGACTTACTGAAGCTAAAGGCGGAACTGTGAAAACTGAGAAAATAATTCAGAGTACAGATATTTTAGCAGAACTGAAGCTGGAGGCTAAAATAATAGATCAAGAAACCAGCTCAAGACAAAAGAAAATCAGAACATGTGGGATTCTCTTGTCCTACATGAGAATGCAGATAGAAAGAGCTCACTCCTTCCTTGGACTGCAGCCACCAGCAGGATCACAGCCCAGGTCTAATCAGGATCAAGGAACGGTTCTTGGCTTGGAATGACAAAAGAAAGTTTTAGTTTGGAGTGGCAAATGGATCAATCTGGACGATGGCTATGCTCTGTGTGTACTCAAAAAAACAAAAAGCATACACAGGCGTACTCTATATCCTGCCCAGCTAGCACTTGAGTACGTGATGAGTCTGGGAATTGTTGTATAATGTGTTTTCCAATCAACTGTATTAACAGAGAGTTCTTTTTTCTAGATTCTTATATAATGTTTTAATGAGATGAGAATAATTGATGCAAGACTTCATGGTGGTGTATTAATGATCCAGCTGCAAGTACAGAAAGAACGAAGATCTTGGTATATTGAGGCTCATTACTAAATTGTCAAAGCTGACTTTATCACAGCCAAACAAACAGTCCAAGGCAACCAAAACTAAGACGATATCCAATTATCAGAAGAAAACAGAAGCCGGGCAGTAGGTCCATGAACATACAAAACACCAAGAATACTGAGTAATAAGGCTTAGAATTGCAAGGATAGATCTGGCAAAACTTTGCAAAGACCTTAGCCAAAACACAAGCTATATATATAGGGAAGGTAATAGGAAAACAAGCTTCAGGTGTGCAGTTGTTCGTTAAAACTCAGGAGAGAGTGACCTCTGCAGGTGGGGAGGGCAGAGGTGGCAGAGTTTTTCCATAGTTTGTATCAAGAATGCCTTGCAGAGGGGCCATTATGTCAATTTCGAGATAAGTAATCTGATTCTTGCCTGGGAATTATTGGAACCAATGCTGGTGATGTCTGAGTTTTTTAACTTTCTTTTTAAGAGGAAGAAGAGATGATTTAAACTAATTAATCATATAAGCTGACAATTTTCCAAACCTACTGAATGTTGTTACAATGGATTGATTAAAAATTAGAAATATACAATAAAATGTTATCAGTATAGGGAGTTATGTAATGTAGCAGATTTCATTTTGTCTGATATTCTGTGCCAGAGGTTCTAGCGACAGGGCAAACAACACTGGTGAAAGGGGGCATCCTTGTTTACTTCCTCTAGAGCAGGTAGGTCCAAAGTCTGGCCCCAGAGCCAAATTGCACCCGCAGACAGATTTTAATTGGCCTGTGGCTTCTGTTTTAGAGCATGTAAAAATATTTAATTTTTTCCTTCACCTGATGGTGGCAACAGCGCGGTAACAATTCAGTTTAATGTGCCGCACTGGGATAATAAGGTTAGTTAAAGCTTAAGAGCCTTTCTTCTCTTACTCGACCTGCAGCTTAATTTACAGAATGACATTTAGTCAAGACTACAGCCATAAAGCTCAAACTTAACACTGAGAACCAGCGATTTTGGCCAGATAGAAATTTAATTACTCAATTACTACAATTTCCACAGTTCAGTAAGTATTAACCCCTTAAGGTAGAACAAAAACATAGCTGTTTAGGCTGTTTAATCTGCTTTGCTTGTTTAATAACATGATTTCTGCATGTAGTTGTTGCATTTACTTCACATGCAAAGAACATAATCTAACAAAACCGAAAAATTAAGATTTTTGTTTAGTGGGTCTGACCAATGACTTTTTTGAACAAGTGAACACTTGAATAGAAATATATTTAATACATTAAACATGTTTTATTATTATTTTTATTTGTTACAAGCACTTACCAATTCAAATTACACTCCAATCCAATAGTAAAGGAAGTCTCATGCATCTTTTATACAGTGCTGTTAAACACAGTAGCTCGCAGAAAGCTCAGATTCCAATGCCTAATATTTTGAAAACTTAATGTTTTTAATCTTTTGTGGATAATGTTTTGACCGGCCGGTATTTTGGCAAGGCACGTTCAAACCCTCTTTGAAAAAAGTTTGCACACACCTGCTTTGGAGATGTTGAACGGTTGGGAGTGTAGGCCAGGGGTGTCTAATCCTATCTGCCGAGGGCCGGTGTGGCTGCAGGTTTTCATTCCAACGAAGCAGGTCACCTGATGAAATGTTTGAAGACTAAAACTGACTGATTAAACAAGTAGTATCAGGTGTGCTTCAGCTTGTTTTGAGTGAAAACCTGCACACCGGCCCTTTGCGGATAAGATTGGACACCCCTGGTGTAGGCCATTGGTTACTATAAATGCTGAAGGCGTTAAATAGATTATACCTGTCATGTTAGTTTACACCAAGGCCAGATTTCTCCAGCACTTTCCACAGATAACTCCATTTCAATCAATTAAAAGCTTTATCTGCATCTAAGGACAGTATTGCACATTGGTTTTCCTGATGTTTGGTCTCATTTACAATGTAGAATAAACGGCGTATATTATCTGCAGCTAAGCGATTTGGTATAAATCCCTCTTGATCAGGATGAATAATTTATCTATGTGTATTAATTAACTTCATTTTTTTTTTTTTTGAGTTTTGAGTAGTTGTATCTAGATATTGACTTAATGTCACATTAAGATCTCCTCCACATATACAAATACCTTCAATTTCCAGTGCTATATTATCAAAGAAAGATTAAAATAAATACTTATTAGTAAATATTTATGCACTCCCAACCGCAATGTCATTAAATTATTGTTGACTTTACACTTCATCATTGTATTTTTTTGTTTGTTGCCTTTTATTTTCTGTAGTTTTCAAAGTTAGCTGAGTTGAATACCAGAATTGTCACCCCTCATTTACAACTTTGCATGTATGAAATGTAGCAAGTATTTCTTTAACCAAAACCTTTTAATTAGGGGACCAAGTGCGAAGTGGACCCTTTTGTAATTGTTAGGATTCTTCTTCATCTTTTTCTGCCCTTAAACAAATCGTGCAGACCAAACTGTAAGTCGTGCAGACATGAAACTTGGTCAATAGGTAGTAGTCCCTCCCGCTACTCAGACGCTCAAGCTCAGCCTGATCGACCTGATGGTGGCACTGTAGCAAAGGTTTGTGCGTTTAGGGCCATCGATTCTGTACTGTATGTCATAAAAACAAAGTTCTTTTTTCCCTGATTAGTTATGTTATGGCCCACAAAACAGCTATTTTGGCCATATTAAAAATCTCTAGATTTTAAGGTAATTTGGGTGCATATACAGCTATAACTCAGAAACTCATTGATCTATTGTTATGAAACTTTATAGGCGTGTACGCTATGGCAGTTGTAGACGATCTTCAGAGTGTGGTGGAACTGAATCAGGATCTATGAAACCAATGTCATATTAAAAAAAACATAGCCGCCATCGGCCAATCAGATTTCAGCAGGTATTTCACAGCCTTAAAATTGGCCAATCACCATGAAACTTGATAGGTATCTCTAGGTATGGACTCTCTACTACCCTTTGAAGCATGACGGGTATTGGCCACTGGGGAGCGCTGCTCATGTTTTAAAACACTAAAATAAGTAAAAGTCTTATACCGCACAGATTAGAAACATGCAGTTAGTATCAAATAATGCTCTAAAGTCCACCTGACAACTTTGCAAATGCAAGTCATTTACTAATTATTACCATATTTCTACAAATGTACATTGTTTGAATATGACCTATATTGAACTAGTCCTACAGTTTACACCTTATCATCTGAAATCTGGTCATAAACCAAAGATTGGAGTCTGATCGTAAATAATTATAAAAAAAAAATGTGACTTTTTCACAAAGCATGTCTGCGACTTCTCAATGAATCCATCTGGGTGGAGTTTTTACGACTCTATTATCTGTAATTCACACACACATCATCAGATTGAGACCAAATTTGGTACAGACATACAGAATAATACTCTGAGGAAGCATGCCAATTGTAGTTTAAACTGACCTCCAGGGGGTGCTACAACATGTAATCGTATATAAATTATGTAAAATGAACATATCTTTCGCTCAGTTTACATTAAAAAATGCAAATGTTTACAAAATACTCAAGTCTTCAGACTAAACAACTTTGCCCTTAGACGAGTTTGACTAAATTGTACTGGTAATTGAACATTTGTGATTTATTTATCTTTTCTTGACAGTAGTTGTATGACAACAAGGCATCGTCCAATTGACACCAAACTTGGTACACCTGCTCAATGCCTAACACTGAAAGAAGGTGCAAAGTTTAGTGGCCATATGGTAATAGGGGGTGCTAAAACAGTCATTTCACATGGTGAGCATATATGAAAATTCATCACATTATAAAACAGTAATTTCACACATGTATTCCCAAAAAACACAACAGATATTGCTTCAGTGTCTGTCATACTATAAACATATAAAAGAAGACATTCTGCAGCAGAATTTTTAAGTAATCGGCAGCTAAAGTTAGCAAATCAGCTCATTTATACCCCATCTGATTGTCTCATGAGCCAGATTCAACA